TGCTATTTGGGCTATAGGGGTTATTAACCTAGTTACTAGGTCCCCCTGACCCTCCAAGTATATTCTACGTAATCCCATGTAATGCTTACTTACACGTCCGTATATAACCTATATACCACCCCTATGCAACCCCAAACCCTAAACCGCTTATGCTGAATATCATGGCGGCCGTGGTGGTCATGGCCTTGCATAAGCCAGCGATGATACAAGGAATCTCCGACCATAATATTCCTCGTACATCACCATGGTGAAAGCTATGGGGACCTAAATCCTTTCTTCCCAAAATCCTGCTGGCACCCTAAACCCTAAACCCTACAAATCCCTCTGGCGGAAGATGAGCCCATCAGTCCTACCCGTCACCTCATTTCACTTCAGCTTACACTGCTCGACTTGGTTAGGGTTCAGGGTTTAGACTTTTCAGGATAGAGTTAAGCAATCCTAGGCCCAGGAATCCCATGAAGCTACAGCCCTCCTTCTTCAGCCCCAACCAAGAGTGCCTAGTTGACCAAGTTGTAGGAATTCAGAATTTACTGCCATCCCCCCTTGGACCTAATTATCATAAACAAACATTATTTCTAACAGTTCCCTAGGGCTTTACTAACATGAAAAATAAATTCTGATGAGACCACAGCTTAGGGTAAAGTTGGCAATCAACGGAATGCACTGAATCTCCAGGAAACCCTAAACCCCCCACCCTGAAGGCAGCGTGGAACGGAGAGAAAGGCAAAGGGCTACGGCTCCCAACACTGCGCGGCCATGGCGCCGAACGCCGCAGCGCATCGACGCTTCTACTCTAACTTCGGGCAAATTTAAGTTTGGGTTGAGGATTGAAAGTTCAAGAGCGTGGAAAGATGTAGAGGTTAAGGGGTCAGAGGTTAAGGGAAGAGAGTGGGGGATTCACAGCTTTGATGGGTGTATGCCATTTGCAGAAAGCCTGACAGCCGAGGAAGAAAATCCGAACATGCAAGAGGTCTTACCTCAGGATTTATGAAGACTTCCAAAAACTGGCGATCCTATCCCACGCTTGTCTGGCAAATAAGGCTTTCGGTAATGCTAGTAGGCAGGTCCAGCTTAAACTTCAATCCCCTCAACCCTAAACCCTGAACCCCCCCTAAACCCGAAACCCCAAAACCCTAAACCCTGAACCCTTAACAGCTCTTCAGCCCAAACCCTAAAGGCCCTAGAACCTCAACCCCAAACTATAAACCAAGCTTTGCGAAATCTTGGAACAAGACTTTCCCTAAACCCTAAACTCCACAGCCCCAAGCCATCGATTAGCAGCAGCAACTTCAAGGAACCACGAGGCAAAATGCGAGCATAAGGAAAGGGTTGTGCTCTCCCCAAAACAAAGGACTCTCTGACTACTATGTGACTCCTATATGGTCCTTAGCATAAGGGATAAAAGCTCCACAAGTTAGAAAGGGCTTAGGGCTTTTGTTCTCTGTGTGGTGTCTAAGGATTTGAAAGTTGCAGTGCATGCGCTTGTTAGCCGCCGTCTGTGCCTATAGATAGTGCCCTAAACCGGATACCCTAAACCCCAAGCCCTTCAAGCAAGTTGCTAAACCAAGGTTTCCTGACAACTTCCTAGCAATCCCCTTCCTAAATCCTAAGCCTTATAAACCCTAATAAACACCCCCTCCCGAAGGGGGTTCAAAGCCTGGCTTATCACTTGAGGAAACGGCGCCTTGTGTCTTCTTTTAGATTTTAAGCGACATAATCACTTGCACAACTAAGCCACTTCATCCGTTAGCATCTGCAATGAAAGGCAGCTACGCTCAAAAGAGGCTAACATATAGTTCGGGTTTGGCACGGGTTTAGTGCAGGTTGGCTCGTGGTAGCAACGTAAGTGCAGCTGTATGCGCTCACAAGTCCAAACCTACTCAACTTGGCGCTACGAGTAGCCAACTGGTAGGAGCCTTCCTTTGCTGTCCGCCGAAAAGTCAACGTGAATGGAGACAAACCGCTCTGGGGCTCCCGCGGGGTTGCTGTGCGCCTGCGTAGTAAGAAGGTGTTGTAGGGTCTGTAGTTCACGCGCTTCGAATTATGTTAAAGGTGTAGTGACTGTATGTAGGCATTGACACCTGAGACAGCGGCGCCCCCTTTTTGCTGTAAAACTTTGTAAGCCCAATCCCGGCAGGCATCTCAAAGAAGTGGGCTCCTGGTTCTCAGGCAAAGTCATATGTGCGCGGACTTTCCTGGATGGCCTGTTGATCCAAGACGATTGAAGTAATCTTACGGAGAAGACAACAATTACTTAGACTCCCACGGAAAGAACTGAGCCCCGCAAGGCCAACTGGAGCCCAACACCGCCAATACTGTATTACTTGAAGTCTTGCTGCAAGGGGCCCCTTATACTCGCACCTGTAGCTTCGAAACTTCCATTTCAATGTGTGAACTTCTTTCTAGAAGAGCTCACGCCTTCAAAGCCCCAGCCGCATACACTGGGCAATAGCTCCACCAGCAAGAGGCCTGTCTTGAAAAGAGATCGCCTTCTACCTAAACAACCGTTATGTTTTACGCCTTGTGCAGGTTGCGTGATCTCGTGTATAGAAGCTACCAGCCATAGAAAGTTAGGTACCCTACAAGCGGGAAGGGTATAAGGGTCTAGATATAGTAGCAGGATGCAACTAAAAACAAGGAACGCTTGTTGTTGAAGACGAAGGTCCCTTTATTCCACCAGTGCTCTGAACGCAGGCAGGAGATTCCAGGTGTAAACCTCAGGAATAGGGCTTTGGGCTTACAAATGGATAATGGCAAAGAAAATGGAAGCTATCATTTAGGCTTGAAATGGGGTTAGATAGGGACTAAATAGGGATGATGACACAGAATGGAAAAAACGAAGCATATATTCACACTTCGAAGCCCTAAGCCAGAAATCGTGGCATACGAATGGTCCGTCGGAGCGTGTGCTTGGAATGCCAGAAAAAATGCAGCCAGAACATTCAGAATGACACCCTCTCTGGCTGTGACGCAGAAGGGGAGATGTCCCCAGACCGTCAACTTGCCACAAAAAAGCCCTAAGCCGTTCGTCTTGGAGGGATGGGTGCATTTAGGAAGTCGTGCCTGTAGATCTTGCAGGGCAGGGCTGCGCGCTGCCAATTGCTGCGCAACCGCAGCGGCACCGCCAGGCCTAAGTAGCAAACAGTGGGATGCCTAATGCCTGTAGTTGGGTTGAAGACGCGGCAGCACTTGTGGTAGTTGGAATTGCTGTTGTTGTACTTAGGCCCATGGCACGCAGTCTTCACCACAGGGTCCTGAACCCTAAAGCCACTCTTTTCCTTGCCGAATATCTAGCACCTCTTTGCTCGAACGCTAGATATGTGCATGCTGCCTCTGCCGCAGATGACAGAAAACAAGGTGCATGTGTACATCACATGATGAAGCTGGTTTTCACTTATGCAGATGCTGAGCCAAGTGCGTAGCCCTATGCCCCAGGTTTTTGAGGCCAGAGTCCACTAGCTAAGACCCCATATCCGAACTCATAGTTCTAAATAGTCCTAAACCCCAAGCCCTGAATCCTAAACCCAAGGCCCTGAACGCTAAAACCTAAAACTCCCGGTGCTGAGAGTGGGTCTTTGCCAGCTTGCTAGTCTCAGCAAATACCATCTGCTCCGGGTTAAAGAATTTCAGATACCTGCAAGATAGGAAGATCCTCTAGGGTTTAGGGTTTGGGGATCATCAAAACCATACGGACTGAGGCAAGGCCCCCAACCAACTTCCTCAAACCCTCACCTTGAACAGCCTAACCCACATCCGTCGGTTCCGGAAAGACAAAACCCAATACCGGAGGCTGGAATGGGTTTGAGCTATGCCCCTTGTTAGTACTGATCGTAGGATTGGGATACCTCAGACAAGATAGCATAGAAGCCTCTTGTAGAAATTGGCCATCGTTTGGTTTTCTTCGGCCCATGTTACCAAAGATTGCGAACAACATTAAAATTAGCAAGAAATCACCATTCTCAGGAGGCCTTAAGAACAGCCCCCGAAAACGCGCTTCCAAGTCCTGCCTGCGCTCACAAAGTACAATCTCCCTACACCATAAACCATCAACTGCACGAGCTGTAAGGGTCCTTAAGCAGAACCCCTGACTAGTTTGCGGAACGATCCGGCTGTAGTTCTGGCAGTGGGGTAGGGGCATCTTTCGAAAAGGGGTTGCCGCAGTATACCGCCCAAATAATCGCCAAGTTTGGGCGCCTCAAAATTCCTACCAAGGATGAACCTTGTAGTCCAGGACAGTCAGGGAACTGTAGCTTCGGCCAGAGCTTTGGATCCTAAGAGTATAGCAGGGAGGATGCGCAGATTATAGGGCTCCCACTTGTTGGGCTTGTTTCCAGAAACTCCCATTCAGAACACGACATAGAAGGCCTATGAACGTCACACTTTGGGCTTTGAACCCCCCCCAGCCATTTTGCGAAGCTGCGCAATCCCACACTCAAACGTGCAAAGGAAGCATCTCTTCTACCCTAAACCTTAAACCCTAAACCTTAAACCCTAAACCTTAAACCCTGAACCCTAAACCCTGAACCCTAAGCCCCATCAAGCCTCACCTCTCTCTAAGGCACACTGTTAGGCCATTTGTTGGGAGATGAGCCAAATTGGAAAACTGGGCTGCTCTTAATGTAGGGGGTATCTAGGTATAATGGAAGATACAACGGAAACTGATATTTGGGGTTTAGGGTTAAGGGTTGCTGTTAAGGAACCCAACTTAAGTTACCATAATTGGTATATATAGTAAATAATAGCGTTCCCCAATACAGTAACTTAAGCTAAGTTCTTTAACAGCAACCCAGAAAACTGATGAAGCCTCCACACCTACTGTACTCACGAGTCTCTAGCAGCCAAAGCACTTTATGTCTACGTTACTGCGCCCTCAAGCAACACTGACTCCCAAGTCTGCCAAGGAAACCCAACCCCAAGCACAAAAAGCACCCTCACACAGGAACCCCAAAGAAACCCCTGAAAGTCCGTTGTCCATCTGGACAAGGCCCATGTGATATTCCATTGCGCCAAGCCTTCGGATGTTCTGCGCATAGTTGCCCATCCCTGCAAGATGGATAAAACAGGGACACATGGGCGTATATGGGGATATAGTCTATATCCCCATATATGCCAATATGTCCTATGATATAGAAGGAGATATAGGCTTCGTGAGGGTCCCCATCACAGCCTGTCTAGGAACGCCCATATGAACTATAGATAAAAAACCCTAGCATCCCCCTTAATAGGCCCTATAACATACACTCCCTTGTATAGCCCCCCTTTCAGGAGCTTCCATTATGGCTCATATGGATCCTCTCAGCAGAAACTTATTGTTTAAGCTTCCAGCTAAGAGCTCAAGGTTGAGGACCACAGGGCTTGCTGGCTTCAATGCTTTGTGTTGTAATAGGTAAGTAATAAGAATAAAGATAACAAGTGTAAGCAATACTAGTAAAAATCAGCAGCGGTCATCAATTGTCAACAGTAATCTACAGTAGAAGGCATTGAATCACAGCAGGGTACGCGGCAAGAGACTATCTAATCTAGGGCTCCACTTGTGACGAAGTCACAGGTCAGGGCACCATATCCTGGGGTAGCCTGAACGGCACTCCAGTGTATGCGTCCGAGTGTGCCGCTATCAGCATTTTCTGGAAACTATCAATATGGCAGTTTCCTCCCTGAATAGGAGGACCCTAATAGACTGTAGTCCTTTTTTTGGATCCCTGTTATAATACAGCACCTAATATTTAGGGTACCCAAAAAGGGACCATAATTTTGACAACCATCCGTATGACTATCTTATCCACAATCTGCAACCGTTAAAGAGTGGCAGCAGTACCAAAGATATCCTTGATATGTAGGACCCCAGTATAAGCCCCCAAAACTGATTTAGGGCTTAGGGTTTAGGGTTTAGGGTTTTAGGGTTTAGGGGTTTAGGGTTTAGACTTTAGGGTTTAGGATTTAGGCTCCTAATTTTTGGAAAATCCAATATGGGGCTCCTGATATTGAGGGCCCAATACAAAGGAACCAATCTCCATCTACGCAGCCAAGCCGCGGCAGAACGCCAACAACTGTCCTCCTGGAAAGGGCAGCAGCCTCACGTACTGTCTGCAGGGTTACGCGCCAAAACTTCAAATCTATTGTGGGATGTTCAGGAAGGAGAAGCAGTCAGAATGTCAAGGAAAGAATGCTTCGTGAAAACGGGCTGATGTTTTTTTTAGAGCTTCATAGTGATGAATGTCTCTGTTTTTCTCGTGACGAATTCAAGTCTGTTTTCCAAGAGGCCCCGAAAGAGCTATGCGCATACCTAGGTTTCACAGGCCAATCCAGAGCAGCTGTTGGTGTGAGCTTTCTGTTTGTAAACTTCTGGTGCCTGCGACTTTATGTGTTTTGTTCGGCTAGCACAAATACCGGATATGATTCTACGGCCTTGCGAAAGCTCTTCAAATCCATGCAGGGCTGCTGAATCCTGTTGGGAAAGTTCTACTGTTGCATTCATACCACACATACCCCCGCCAAGATTCAACAGGCACTAAGGTCCTTCTTAGGGTCCGTCAGTGTGCACTGGTTCCCGATGCCTTACTACTTGGAAGGTCGGGGGGCTTAGAAGCAGGTTAGAAATTGGGATAACTAAGAATACCCTATGGATTATAAGGCTTCTTAACCCACTTACCAAGTCCCTCTTCCGGAGCCATAGGGTCCAACCCCAAAATCAATTGAACATGTCTTAGAGTTTTGCTAGTCCGAAGCTGGAAGATGACTGGCGATGTTCCAAACTCTGAAGCCTAGACTTTAATCCATCAGCCGTGAACATAATCCCTAAGCCTTTTCCAACCTCGGAACCCCTAAACTCCAATCCCTAAACCCTAACCCCTAAGCCCCTAAGCTCCTAAACCCTCAACCCCCTAAACCCAAAACCCTGAGCCATGGCCTCTCTGGAATCCTGGGCGCCACAAGTGCCGAGAGCAAGCCTGTCAAGAGCGATGATCCTTAAACCCTAAACCCTAAGCAATAGGGTTTGGGGTTTAGGGTTCAGGGTTAACCTTTTAGGTACCTATAATTGGAGTATAAGGTCCAAGCTAAGTCCCAAAGAGAACCCCAAACAATATTGAGATCAATTTGAATTCAGAAGTATCTATTAAGGAGAGGGGCTTTATTAATCAGAGGTCTGGGTTACTCAAATCCCCTGACGTTAATTCTCCAGACTGGGAAGACTTCCCCAGCTCATGCTTCATGCGAACCCCTGCAAGATATGAAAAATGGACTCCCCCCCCAAATCATCCAATCACTCCTTTAGGATGCAGGGGCTTTTACTGTTCTTAAGGGGTCTGGGTCATCAGTTTCAAGCTGCCATGCTTGAAAGCACCAGGGCGATGAATTTGGAGGCTTCTGGGTGACAGGGCCCAACCACCCATGGTACCCAATAATGTAGGGTTTGAGGCCCTATAATGGAGAATCAAATGGAAAAGAAAATGGAGAATGAAATGGAAACTGGGATTGTACAGGGGTTATTTGAGTAGTTAGACTCCTCACACTCATCCCTGAATTATCCTAAGCCC